GGTGTAAAAATGACCATTTAATGACTATTTCATTAGCTATTAACTGGTATTTAACAGACAGTTAATTACACCGTTTTCGATGGTCCAGGGAGTGCAGTCACCAATTTCTACATTCTTTTTGCGATTTATTTCGTCTTGTCTTGCGTAGTATAACCACATGTGCTAACAAGATTCGAATATGTTGTATAAGGCGTTTTTATTAATTTTATTGCGCAAAATGAATGCGAACTGGCCATGCATATTTGAGTGATATCATTGAAACTCCCATTCGACAGGACCCTGAGGACTGACAATTACTTACCGAGGGCTTCATTAAAAAACTTAAGCTTCGCAACCGTTGTTTTTCTCAAATAGCTAAAACTCTGCAGGTTAGATTATGAAATTTTTTATAATTAAGGTTATAGCTAACCAAAAAGGTTATAACCCACGGGGCCCGCGTTCTTCTGTCAACAAGCATATGGAAATAGTGTGGATCGTTCTGATCTCAAATGAATTGAGCTGTGCTTCAGATTCATTCTGATATCATACAACAACTATTTTGAATTTTTTAAGAGTTTTTAAAATGTTCAAACAAAAAACGAGTAAAACATACATTATGTTATTGTACCAACTGGACAGCAAAGACACTGTAAAAACTATTTATGATGGTTTGAAGGCAAAAAGTCTTCCATTGTGGATGGACACACCGGATGCGAATGGTCGTTTCAGCAATTTAAAAATACGCTTACGTAAAGTTAAAAATGCTGCAGCAGTATGTTGTTTTCTCACACCAGTTTATCAGCAATCCCGCGAATGTGTAAATGAATTGGTTTTTGCTAAAGAACAAGGTATTTGTATAATACCATGTCGCATGTGTCGTAACTGGAAACCAACTGATTGGTCAGAGTATTGCGTAGCTGGACTAAAATGGATTGATTTTTGCGGTGCTGAAACAAAAATAGATTTGAAAATTCAGAGATTATATGATGAAATTCTATATCATGTTGGAGATGTAATCGAAATAGGTTAGTAGTAGTATTTTAATTTTATCATTTTCATTCTAGTGTATGTCTGTCTACCGAAGCCAATACTTTATCTACATTAAACAGAATACTCAACACTTCACCCTGATAAATTCAGTTTTACTTCATATTCATGTATGCACATGACTAACTATTGCTGATACAAGAAGAGAATGGATTTGATTGTTTTTGAATAACTCAGAAATGAAAGAAGCTTGAGAGTGCGGATTTTCATCATTCAAACGAGAAGACTTTAGCGCATCTTTTTTAAGAGATATTAATTCAGAGCTATCTTTTTAAAATATGTTTTCTAGAAGATCTTTAGAAAACCATGTCATTATTTAAAAACTCTAAACACAACTTGTTTCCAACTTTTTCATTGATAGATAGCGTAGAATGTGCTCTTCGAAATAGAAATCAAGTGAGAGTTAAATCTTGATTTTCAGTGATTTAGATATGGTATCGGATTTCTTGAAAAC